CATGAGGCTGATATTTTCAGATGTCTAACCATAATAATTTCAGTGTCTCTTTCTTATACGTTAAGAAAAATAATATAATTTAGAGATGGTCATTGTGCATTGATTTCTCCTTAAACATTACTTTGTTTTCTTTTATACATTTAATTTAATTTGTTTTATAACCCAGTTGTTAGTATCACAAGACCCTTCTACAAAACTTCATTGTCTGGCAATCTCTTGAGTGGTTTTGTATTGTTTGCAGACTTTGTTTCCTCACTATTTATCTTCTTTAATAGGTCATTTAGGAATAATTTCAGCAGCACAGGTCTCAGTACAGAATCCTGTACAGGACAAGAAAGTAACTCCAACCTTGTGTAAAGGTAGAATGAAAATACATTAATAAAGACAAAGATTAACCATGACAAGGCTGGAGAAACATGCCTATTTTTGATAGCTATTCTGTAGCTCTCCTTGCCTTTGCCTTAACATCTCAGAAATGTCAAAGCTCTGCAGTCTAACTGTCCTACCAGAATGAATGTAATCTTCAATTCCACTATGTGCTCATGGGTGGTATTCTCACAGAGGCACTGCAAAGCACAAAATCTCTTCCACGCATGGAGCATTTGCAAAAAGTATTTCAGCTTCCCACTGGCAGGCTGTTGACAACTCACACAGATTACGTTTCTTCATACCCCTTTCAGTGCAGAGCTGCATATTAACGAGCTCACGTCCCCTCCAAAAAGTGGCAGTTCTGGAACTGAACTTCCGTAACACAAAAATACCACTTGGCTATTCTGATAATAGTGTTTTGAGACTTTTTTTTTTTGTCTGGGGCATATTATTAGAAATTATGCCAAGTCTTTATATGAACATGACTGTTAATGCTATTTCACTGATGTTGGCAATGAAATCCAAGGCAGGCATTTTCCTAATTGAAGACCAACTTCTATATACCTGCCATGTCAGAAGCTGGTCACTACAACTGGACAGAGTTGATGGAATTACATTTTCCTCTGGGAAATTATAGAATCATTGAATGGTTTGGGTTGGAAGGGGCCTTAAAGATCCTCTAGTTCCAACCCCCATGCCATGAACACTAGATCAGGTTGTACAGAAATCCATCCAACCTGGCCTTAAACATTTCCAGGGATGGGGCATCCACAGCTTCTCTGGGGAAGTTGTTCTAGTGCCTCACCACCCTTACAGTAAAGGATTTTTTCCTGATATCCAGTCTAAACATCCTCTCAGTTTGAAGCAATTCCCCCTTGTCCTATGACTACATGCTCCTGTAAAAAGTCCTTCTCCATCTTTCTTGTAGGCCCTCTTCAGGTACTGGAAGACCACAATTTGGTCACCCCTAAACCGTCTCTTTTCCAGGTGGAACCAACACAATTCTCTCAACCTTTCCTCTTAGGAGAGGTGCTTCATCCCTCTAAAATCTTGGTGGCTCTCCTCTGGACTTACTCCAACAGGTCAATGTCCTTCCTGGGCTGGGGACCCAAGAGTTGGATGCAGCATTCCATATGGGGTCTTGTAAGAGTGGAGTAGAGGGGCTGAATCAGCTCCCTTGACCTGGTGGCAAATGTAGACAGGAACCCATTTCAGGCTCAGGTAAATTAAAAATTCCCATTCTTGGTGCTGCTATGGTACTCTGCCTCGTGGGGTTTTTTTCTTCAGTGATAGAATGCTCGTTCTAGCCCAATACACTGGTACCATCCTGGAAAATGTGCTCCTGGCACTATGGTTGTGCATTGCAGCCCTCAGGTCCTCCAGCATCCACAAACTGTGGCAAGACTTGTCATTTGCCTGGCTCTGCCAGGACATCTAGGGCTCAGTGCTGGAGGATGGCAGAGGGGTTTTTCTCTTTTGTAATTCACAACCAGAGACCACCACATTGACTTTCCACTGCAGTTTTTCCGGTATTAGAAACCAGCTTTGGTAGGTATGTTCATGTCTTGCTCATGACCAGTTTTGTGGTACATTACTTCCAATATCTTTGGTCTTGAGATCTGCAGCGTAGCAAGATGAGTCTCTTGACTGCTGGAAAAACTATATAGTGTCTTGCTGTGAATCCTACACAGAAGCTAATAGCACTTTGAAACTTTTGTTTATTGTGCCTATTCAAGGAAAATTAGTGTACTTTGAAGAGGTAAGGTAGAATGGGTGATTACTAATGTTACTGAAAATTATTAGTTCTCATTTGGTTAACACCACATCCTAATGTGCAGCTCTAAAACTTTTCACAGGACCTTTAAAATACAATCAATTTTCCTTGGCTATTTGCTAATAATTCAAACTGAGTGCAGAACCTGACATGCAATCAGGCTAATACAGCTCGATATCCATTTTCTTTCAGTTAAATAGGAATTTTAACACAGTGACACCAACCATGGAATCGCAAATAGCTAGTGTATATCTATCTCTCTGTCTGTTTGCTCAACATGCACAGTGAGGACATGACTCAGGTACCTTTAGTCATACTGAGTGAACCTCACCAGTATAGCTCATTAAGTAAAACAAAGAATATCACCACTCATTAAGCCAAAACTAGTCTGAGGACCATTCAAACTCAAACACATAATTTATATTTACATTTCATTTACAAAGATAAAACTCTTTACAAATTTGGTGTCTGATCTCACTCAGGAAAATGGGTTTGAGAAGATATTCTTCTCTAGCCAGAAGAGTTAAAACTGAATTTGTGAGATCAAAAACAACTCCAGGCATCCTTACTCTTCTCTGTGCTGCTTTAGCTTGCATAAAATATCCACAAAAAAACCTGAAAAAAATTATACATTTGTCTGCAAAAGGACCTTCTGCTCTGTTTTTAGCACCACACAGTAATGAAAACTGATGGCTGGAATCTGCAGAACAATTCTGCACACAACCGAAATTGCCACAAAGGCTTAGGATACCATGAGGGAAGGAACTGTCAGAAAGTTGCCTAAAGATCACAGCTAGCTATTTGTGAGTAGAAGTGTGAGATGTCCAGGATTTAATTTTACGTGTCATCCAAAAAATGCCACATTCCCCCCAGATGACGTAACAAATTATTCATGCATAAACTTAATTACCCATATGACATTTATCACGAACTTCTATCTGCATTGGCTGGTTACAATAGTCTGAAGTCTGAGGTTTTAATGTTGCTCTGATGCAGTCATTAAAACAAATTAGGGACAGATAAAATTAATAATTGCTTCATCTTTTTGCAACTAAAATAGCTTTTGCTTTGGTAACTGTTTTCAAGGCTGAGTGACTGAGATTTTGCTGATGCATCACTCCACAGAAGTGTAATTTTCTACCTGAAAATGACTGACTTAATTTTGCTGGATCACAGTTTACAGGATGCAACTAAAATGATTAAGTTCAATTTGTTGCTAGGTCTCAATATATCATTTGCTTGTGTTTGGAAAGAATATGAGTGCTGGTGAGTGACAAGGAGGAAAAGATGCATAGCAGAACAAAATTACTGAGGTGAATGGTGGACTACATATAAAACTCACACATACAGTTGCACGGAGAACAAGGAATCCAGAAAAATGGAACTGGGCAAAGATTTCCATTAGATCAGGATACGCTTTATTTTCACACACTCACCTGACTCCCTTTCTTCCTATTTCACTGAAAATCAATACAGGACTATTGCCAAAATAAGATGGCTTTCACCAAATGTTTCTTTGAACTGGTTCCTGAGGATGTTTTCCTCTATGACCTTATTTAATTCTTATTTTTCTGAGGTTTGGAATATGAATTAGTAAAGGTGAAAGGGAAAGAGATGTAGTGATAAAATAACATGAAAACCCTCCTTATTCTACATAGAGGAAAATTTAAAGTGCAAAGAGAGGCACAAAGACCTACCCTTTATTAATAGAAGATCTCTGGTGAAACTGCACAGATTTCTGTGGCTTGGTGATCTGTGCTGGCTACATTATCATTCTGACGAACTGGTCCCAGTGAACATCAATATTACAAACCACTCTGCATCTCGATTGTTCTCAGACTCAGTACATGAGTTAAGGACTTCAAAATTCATAGCAGGTGAGTGAAGGAGCTATGACAAAGTTGCATATAAAGAAATAATTGATTGTGAACACAAAGACAGGTTTAAGTTCTGGGTATATTAAGCCAACACCTATGAAAATCCCATGAGACAACCCACGGTTGTCTAGAAGAGGGTGATGTCTAAACTAAGAGCTACGAACCCTAGTAAAATTTAACACTTGTGAAAGATAAAGTCTGTATTTGCTCATGACCCATGCTCATTTGATCCTTCCAAAAATACATGATCCATTTCTTCACCTAATAGGAACGAAGGCAAGGCTTTGACTTACATCTCTACTAGTAACTTAATGATTTTCATGTAATCTACCTTGCCAGGGTAGCTGACATAGCTGCCTAAGCATGCACAGAATAATCCCAGATTCACACCAGGGCTGATTTGTAAGAACAGAGTGAACCTGTAGTAGTTCCAGTATATATGAGATTCTTCCCATTTTCTTCATTAAAAATATTGACATGTATGTGAATTTGCAATGCTTGAAAGATTTAGATTCCTTCCTAGTGGTCTTGCATGGCTGCAGTTATTTAAATATAAAAGCACTTATTTAAATATACACTTACCTATCACTGGTTGCCTCATGACACAAGAACTATGCTGGAAACGTAAAACATTAGTGTTTAAAGAACATTTCTCACTCCTGAGATGTGAGGCTTAGGGAGAGAGACAGACATGGAGCTTCCTGATCCTCCCAGTATATAAGAAACTGACTGTGTCTCTCCCTTTTCCAGAAGACTCATGACAGTATACCTAATGCATTCAAACAAATTGGAAACATGATGGATTCGTACACATGCACGAGAACTACTTCTGCAAAACAGAATGCAAGAAGGAACAGAGTCATAGAACCATGGAATCATAGAACAGCTTGGGACAAAATGGACCTCGAAAGATCACCTGGTCCACCTGGGAAAGGTAGCATAGCACCATTGAACAACAAGACTGTAAACTCTTTCCCTCAATCACACTCACAGCACACAGACACAATTAAGGGCCAGGAACAGCTACCCTTAGTGGTCATGACTTCCAAGGCACACATGTGAGGGACACGTTATTTACAAAGGGTAATTGGACCTTTAATCATAGACAGCATATGGTCATAGAGTATGATTCTATTAATCTAGATTCTACATTTTCTGCATCCTCTTTAATTATGTTTATTTATTGTTTGAAAACAAACAAGGTCTGTCTTAGAGAAATTTTGCTTCCTCTTTATTGTTTTTATCTCTCTTGCTTTCATTGCTCTTATAATCCAAACCCCTTTTCTCCCAGTCTCTGAATCAAAACTGAGGTTTTGTATTACACTCAACACAGTTTGCACAGAGAATGAGGCTGACTGTCACCCATGGTTTGGGTCATCTGAAGGATACCATTTCTTGGAAGAGCTCTGTGAACTTCACCCATGGAAGTAATGAGGGGGGAAAATTTAAAAGAGTTTAATTAATTTGCATCCCTAAAGGTGAGTTGTTAGCACTATTGAGAATTAGAGAGTTAATGTGATCGTGAAAGCTACATGGGATGATTTGGTGTGTCATATTGAATTATGGCAGCCTGTGTCCATGTCAAACAATGTATCTCTGAGGGGAGGATGTGGAAAGTCAAGGATAATTTCTAGAGGTGCCACCAATATCCCTGAAGTTCCTACTTCAGTGTTTGTTCAATATTCCAAGCAGATATGCAGTTGAGAGGGAACAATTTGACGCCAAAACATTCAGGGACCCTGAAACAACAGAAAATTTATGTAAATTGTTAAAGGAGAGAGAGCGGAGACACCTCTATCACAAGTTTTTAATGGCTTAAAAACTGTTAAAATTACATTATTGCTTCATTTTACATTGCATAAAAGGTGGAAGATCAATGATGAGACAGATCAGCTACAACCTTAATGACTGACACAAATCTCTACAGCCAGGCATAGCTTCTTGCAAAGAATTTCTGGCTATTGAATATTCTGAAAATTATATAAGGAGCATGAGTTCTTGCCCTCCCAGACATTATCGTGGAGTTAACACGCTCCTTTAAACAGACAATTTTCTGAGGACAGATAGATCATTAGATACATCTAATGATCTCATCTCAGTTGAACAATGAACCTAAAAAAAACCAAAACACCCAAAATTCAGTATGCAGAAAAGAGCAGCAATGCTTGCCCCTATGACATGCATTAGATTGTTAAGGATCTAATAACTGTCCTGTCTATCATGATAAAGGTCTAACCAGAACTCCTCCTTCCTGCCCTCTGAGAACAGCCTAGTTTTTGTGTTACTGCCATATACAGAAAGACCCATTACCCACCTGTTTGAGGACCATATCTGCTACAGGGTAGAAGTAGAACAGTTCATTAATACTTCTAGTCTTGCATCTACACTGTGCATGGATAACCTGAGAACCCAGTGTTTTGTAAGTGTTCAGCAGGTAATCTGGACTGGGCTGCAGTATGTTAAAAGATGTATTCAAGCGGCATCAGGAGAAAAAGTAGTCATCTTGTCCATCAACAGCACAGATAACTGTGCACTCACTTTCAAATCAGAAATGAAAAGCTGGAAGAAGGAATTCTCTTTGACTTTAGCAAGTCCATTCAACATATACAAGTATTTGATAGGACCCACTGGTAGACTTGTGAGCTTCATCAGAGTTTATTTTGGCATGAAAGATTAACTCAGGTGATAAAATTGTTTGGTGATAAAGGTGTTAAAAAATATGCTCACACATTATCTTAATTTTCTTTTAACTATTCAAGTAGTTTACTGGCAGCTGTCTTGCAGCCTCTATTACGACCTATTCTGCTCCAAAAGGACAGAGATTTTATAGACTACCATCCTTGTGCTGAGCGCAGCAGCTTAAATTCACTGGGTCTGCAGTAATCAGTAGTGAAAGCTTTAGTATTCCTCACAGTATCATATCTAGTCCAATTTAAGAGGTAACTTTGTTGTTTGCCTAAATACCTGATTCTTTTTGAATACTACACAACTGGATGAATATGCAGGGTCTTTGACTTCCCTTTGTGTTCTGGGTTAAAAACAAATTTCTTCTTACTTCTTTTAAAATTGTTTTCTGAATTTTTACTCTGTTACTTTATTTTTTTTTTTTACAGAACTGTGACAAAAAATAACTAGGAGCACTGGAATTGCCTCCTTTGCACAGCTCATTGCATCAGAATTTTTTCTTAATCTTTGCCTCTCCACTACAGTTTTGTTTGGCATCTTATGCGTGAAATGCGCACTTTGCATGAAATATATACTTGAAGTTTCTACTATTTTATTTTGTCCTTTGTGTTATTTTAGTGTTCACTGTGTCTTTGGTCTGTTTATGTAGACGGAAAAATACCTAGTGTATATTTTTAATCATTTTATCAAAGTTGCAGATATGCTTAACCCGTCTAGGTTTGGACTAGGGATCAAGATATTCTGAATTCAGTGATATTGGTTATTCAGACACTTAGTTCAGATATTGGCTTGTTTGCACCTGTAAAGCTCCATTTGCCTTGGAGGGGTGGCACTGAGGTTACCTGAGCTCTTCAAGTGCTCCAAGGTCCCACTGCCATGCATACTATGCCGCCCTGGAGGTGGAGAATGAAAAAGTGACAATTACACTGTTTTGTGGGTTGTTAAAATCTGGGTTAGGGAAAGCTTCAGGAAAATCACTATCTCACTGATACTTCGACAAACTGTACTCCTGCTCTGGACTAGGAGAACTAGCAGTTCTACTCCTCCTGTGTTATTGGGTCCATGAGATCAGCCAGTGCATCTTGTTTTTGCCAGAGAACTCAGCCTCCATCATTCCCCTCTGAGACACTGAGAGACTACATTTGTGATATTATGCTGAGGTTTTAAAAAAGAAGGTGCTAGATGAAGGGGCTAAAAGGATTCTCAGAAAGAGGATTCATTTGGGTCATTACACCGTGACAGGCACTGTGGGTCAAGCCAATGCCCTCAAAAGTGAAAAACAAATGGATTAGTCTAGTGCCTCTTGTCTGTACATCCATAACCATCATACCAGACATCAGCACCTCTACATTTAAGGTGAAGCATTATGGACACAGTTTCTTCCAGTTCCTGAAATGACATCTATTGTCTTCTCTAGCGGTTTTTAACAAAAGCTCTTGGGACTCAGAGTATCTTTTTCTCCTTATAAAGCAGGGAACATTCATCCTACATCTTTCAAATCAATACCAAGGCAGCAGGGTGATCTGCATACAAATCAACTTGCGAATTTACACCCTGTCTGACTCTGCCAACAGGATTAAAAATCTTTCATGAAACAACAGCTCCCTGTAATCACATCCTGCCAGATTTCAATAATAACTCAGGCATATAAAAGCCTCTTGGTTTCATATGTATTAAAAATAGTTTCTTCTCATTTTCTACCTATTCCTTGGATAGTAACTTCCCATTTTCTTGAAAGCTTTCTACTCTGTAAGTGTTTTATCATCCATGCTCCAAAAATCTCATCTACTTACTGACTGGAAAGATTTTTCCTGTTAACCAAAAGAAAAGGTGATTGTTTATGCCCCAATCTGATAGCAGACAGGACTCAAAGCCCTGAGTCATCATCACCACAGATCGCGGCCACTGCTGCCAAATTGTCACTAAATTTTGATGTACGATGAGCCTGGTAGTTATAACTCTGCTCTCTATGGACAGTTGTCTATTTCAGAAAATCCATCAGTATCCTCTTTAACATCTTACGAACAGTATTCAATCTTTAGTAAGCAAAGCAGTTAGACTTCTTCACTGGGCACCTTTGATTTCTGCTTCAGATTATGATGTGACTGTGTAATTAAATGTAGTGCCTGCTGTCTATTATTACGCTGCATTTGTTCTGCTTGACAGATCTATCTTGATACAATGTCATTTTCAGTTATTGTGAAAACAGCCAGAGCAGAGAAAAGGGGCATTTCTTGTAAATTGAAACAATACATAAATGCAAAAAAACCATACTTCATCCTGCAGTTCCTTTTGTCCAGGAGAGCTGAGACAGAACTTGGGAGCTGTGAACAATTTTTGTCTCTCAATAACAGGGCTGTGAAAGACTGATACCAGTGGGAGTTCTTGATCACCTTGTGGGGACGATCTGTCACCATTTGTCAAGGGCAATTTCTGCATTCACAGCTTTAGAAAGAGTAGTTACAGACTGCAGGTATAATAGGATGCATGCGTTTGGAGGGCAAAGCAAGGTTTTTGGCAAACATACTTAATAATCACTGCAGACTGAATTCAGTCTAAAGTGCCTGAAACCTATTTGTATCTTTATAGTCACTTAACCACTTCAGTGCTCAGAGCACAGATTTGAAACTTAGCCAAAATTGCCTCCAAAGTGATAGGATAAAAAAAAGCTACAGTGTCTCTGTGTTATTTTTTATCACATTGCTTTCTTTTATACAAACATAGTTATTAATTAAGCATTCTGGAAAAGCATTACTGTTAATTTTTCTTTTATTCTCTTCATATTAGGAGGGCAATACACTAGCAATCACAGGACAAAGTATGCAAGAAGAGAGGAATAGACTGAGTTGCTTAGAATGAGACAATAGCTTCAACTAGTCACCTTCCATGCAGCAGGGGAGATCAGCACAGTCATTTGGTTTACCTTGCACAGATAGTAAAACTGGCCTTAGTACTCATGATATATAATGTGCAAAAGGCACAATGCTTGTGCTTCTTGAGTATTTTATGAAGAATATGTCTTGTAAGCAGCCACATTCAAAGCAGTTTGAAACAGCAAAATGGATATGAAAGCAACCACCATGTGGTTGCTTTTTCATTACATATATTGCTGCCTGCTGGCAGGGAGGAAGAATTTCTCAGTCCTGCCATTATGTCCATTGCCATTACTTCATAATGCCACTATTTATATTTGCTGCTTCAACAGTGAGCAGTTGGGCTGCTGCAGGCAGGGGTAGAACTGATAGTGGGCTGTGCAGTTCAGGGCTGAGAGTTGTAGTGAATGAGTTGCTCTTAGAGCTGCTGGAGTGATGGGTTCCAGAAAGAGCGTACAGAAATTACTGGTGCTGCTGGGAAGAAATACTCTATGCAACATTACTACCTCTAAACATCATCCACTTCTGGCATCAGGAACCAATTCTGGGGCTGGCAAAGGCATTGCAAAGTAAATGGCTGGAATGTGACCATTTGCTGCTCTCAGTGTTCTGCTGTCCCCACCCACAGCCTACTTTTCTTTTGTCTAAGGCCTGGGGTTCATCAGTCCCCATATGATAGATCAACTCAGAGAATTAGCAGGGGTCAGGAAAAGCATCTGATTGGCTTCATAGACAGTACATTGCTTTAGTGACTTAAAACTCCTGAAGAATGCTTTAATGCTAAAATGAATCTGACTCAAGAGGCTATATCAGGAATAAGACCTCAGACTTTCAGGTCTTAGACCTGTCAGGATCTGGGGCGCAGAAGTCATAGAAAGGTTTCAATGCAGTTTGGCAGAAACATGAAAGAGAAAAATCAGGTAGTACTAACTCAAGTGCTTACTTCCTGTATTTGAAGGAATAATAAAATGATTTCTAGGTTAATATGTCTCGCAACGCCTTTAATTCTTTTGGTTTATACAATGACCTCTTAAGCCATACCTATGCTGTCAGAATAAAAATAGAAAGCAGGTAGGTATGCTTAATGCACGGCCCTAAAACTCACCCGAAAAGACCGTCAGCACAGGTGATCAAAAACATCCTGTTAATGAGGCCATCATACCTCATTTTGATTTTCTGACTCTAGCTATTCATTCAAATGGGCTCCTTACACATCGAGCTCACTTAAAATGAAGACTTTCCCTTTCAAGGGCATTGAATTTATTTTTTTGCACCTAAGCAACTGCTTTTCATGTTTGCAACACACGCTCTTTACATACTCGCATGGTCAAAATACACAAACCAGACTTACTCTCATGACCAAGCCATATTTGCTTAATATAATTTTTTCTCATGGAAAAGGGCTATGACTGTATGTTATGGCAAACACAAACTCAATGCTGATAATGCTGTCTCATGTGCACTGGGAACACCTATCCAACACTCAATGTAGGACAAACCACAAACAGAGATTTCCTGTTTCTGCCCTGATATTGTTCGAAGATACTGAAGCAGAGGGATAATACAGAAATGCACGGTGCTGTACAGGTCTATGGATTTACATGACCACATCACTGGCCTTTAACTGAGATCAGCTTTTAATGGTAGAGCTGGAGGCAAAGCTATTGGGATGGTGAGGACGACAAGTTGTGAAATATCACAAGCTCTTCTCTGAAAACTGTCTCTACTAATAAATCCTAACATACTTGGTAAGTTCCAAGGACATTGAAACTTGATTGCTAGAGTGGCACCTGGCATTTGGCCCACGCCAAATAGCAGTTTCCCAAATTATTCCTGGGCTTTGCTTATTCTGAATAAGCAGTTTGCATGCAGCACCCTCTTTCAGAAGCTAACAGAATAAACCAGCATAGGCATGGGAAATCCTTTGCCAGTTGGCATCAGTATCTGGGAACGTTCCTGCACACATTATATTTACTACCATGAAATGTAGCTAGAATGCCTGACGCATTGGGCGTGTTAATGAGGGACTGAAGTCCTCTTGGTCCCTTGGCACTTCTGCACCTGTTTAAAACAAGCACTGTGTGTCATAAAAAAGAAACTGTAAAGAAAATAAGGAAGGGAAATGAAATTATTTCCAAACTATTTGGTTTGCACTATTTAATAAACTCAGTTTTGGAATATCTGCTTTGGTGCTCATTTTCTGGCCAGAGAGATATAAACATAAAATCCAGGCTCTTCAGGAACACATGTCAAAAGACATTAAGGAGGCAACTGGACAAATGCCAAAAAATATCTATAGGACTTTGATAGATATGCCAAATAGCAAACATCACACTCGCTAGTCATATTCCCTTGAGCCATCATGTAATTGGGCTGCGAAATTGTGTGCCAGTGCTAAAGGCTGTGCCCACCTCCTCAGCTATTACCAGGCAGGGAAAGGAGGGAAATTTGTCTTATGTTCTCCCCATACTGGACTATTACTGAACTCTAAACTATCACCTATTGAAAAGGTGGGCCATGTCTGAAAGCTACAGGGGCTGGTGCTTGATATTGGAAGCTCTGTCTCAATTAGGATTTATACTGAAATGGTGGTTACCACAGGAGGAAATGTTAATGTTGGACACACAGCTTTTCTCTTCTTCCTCTGAGGAAAAGATGGGAGGCTGGATGGAGTATACCAGGGGTGAGATTTGGTCTGCAGACAGCCAGCCTTACTG